GCAGCATTTTGCGGGTAGTAGCTTGAGTGTGTAGCTCAATGGGTGCCTGTTGATCGGGACCAAGCGATGGATTCGAATCGGACGGAAGATGACAACATCAAGCTGTTTTGCTAGCGCGTGGAGGCGCTATGCGGATATATCGGTATCGGTCGCTGATTCCATACATGATTCTGATAGCGTTCTTTTCCCCTTTATCGCAGTCTGGCTGGATAGTAGTTCGTCCTACGTGCTGCAGGAGCGCGTATTTCCATCGTGGATTTTGTCATGAGCTCGATACGCACGAGGACGGACAATGAGCAAGCCGAAATGCAAGTGCTGATGAAGCACAACAGGAGCAACATTTGACAAATGGAGGAGACTGGAGTAAGTCGTTGCCACTCATTTTCAACGTACTGTATAGTGTTTTCAAGAAGCTGCCGACACTCCCGTCGCTGTGAAGCCCAGCGGACACCGACGGCGGGGGAGGGCATGCCGATCGAGGCGACTTGCTCGGTAAATTAGTGACTTTTGATACTGACACTTGACTGGAAGCCGCCGTTGGAACGCATGCAGCTCGTTGCTGTTACCACTTATGGGCGTTACAGTGTGTCCAGGTTTCCGATTACAAAAACTTTACTCGACCTTCCATCGTTTTACCATCTTACTCGCACATCGGCCAAGCCTTACTCGAATTACATCCGCACCCGGCATCGGCACAGGAACTCAGGTTGGTCGACTACGGCGCTTCTATTGAGGAACTTCTGCATACGAACGAGAGAGACCTTCATTCTTGCTAGCGTCAATTCTCAACTGAGAGCGCAAGTTGGGCGAATCTGGTAGATGACCACCTCCCGTATCATCACCGCCTCGCCGCAAATAAATATGGATGACTCTTTTTTCCTTAACTCTAGTTCGCATGTTAAGATTTTATATGCACTACCACTGCGTAAATAATCCCCCCAAGGCCACGTTGTCATTAGTTTTTCTTACAGCACGATATCATTTGGTGCTCCTGAGACGATAGTAGGACTGCAAACGTTACCAGAACGGCTGCCCTCAGCAGATAATCGTCACACTAAACAGCGAGAATAGTCACCGGGCATTGAACATTAAATTCTCTGTTACTGTGATTCTGACGCTTTTGGCTAACGGCACCAACGCATTCAAATTAAAAATAATAATATTCTATTTATTCCGCATTCACACGTCGAGTTACTTTCCAATGGGTAACCTCTGCTCAAAACTATAACTTTAAAGTCAAATTCAGCTCTCACAGCATCTGCTGCTGAGACTGCTTGCCCTTGAGAAATGCCGCGTAGCCCTGAGCAATGTTCGTATAGGTCTCATTGAGCTCTCTGTTTTCGCTCTGATTCAGTTCCTTGGCGACTCGCTTGGCAGAATACCCACTCGTATGCCACTGGGTGTACAATCGGTTGACTTTCTTGGGGTTTGACAAGGCCTTCTTGAGTCTGACCTCGATGAACGGTTTTCGTGCTCCTTTCTTGGCTGGGTAGTAATAGACGTGCCCATTCTCGCCGATAGCCGTGTCATCGCCGCGAAGCATTCGTTTGCTTCTGGTTTGTGTCTGGACGGTATTAATGGAGCTGACCGGAGTTGTTGCTTCCAAGTTACGGAGGTTGGTGCTTTCTGCTGCAGAGACACCGCCGTTTACGATAGCAAGAGTCGCAGCAACCATCATCAGGACACTGTGCAGGCGCATGGTCACTCTTGATAAATATTGTTAAGTGGGAGGATACGCCGCTTGGCAGATTGAAGAGTGAGCGATCTCCATTCATACATCGAACAGCAATTGGAGCGTAGTGCCGGTGCCACAAGCGGACCAGTCAATGAGCGTCAACATCGGATGGTGCCGTCAGATGCGCTAGCCTCCAGCCGTCGGAACGAGAGGGTAGTAACTTCCCGTTTAGAGAGTCCAACACGCTCGTTTTGCTGTTGTGCTTCGCACGATACCGATAAAGTATGATGTCGTATTGTTCTGAATCGAATGCGTTCAGTTCAATTCAGCTCTGAATTATAAAACTGTATTATGCTATTTTTCTCCACATTTAATACATCTATTGGTGATTCTTGCACCTTTTTCTAAAATATGCGGGCTATATTTAATAAACCTTTAAAATACTATTTGTTCCAACCTACCGACGTGAATATGTGACGAGGAGACAATATGGCGATAGCAAAGCATTACTCGCCGTCCGAGTCAGACGGTTGCTGGAGACACGACAGGATAGCGTAATTGGAGCTTGATTGTGTCTTTGGATTCGAGTGGGTGGTGGTGGAGCGCTCGTCACTGGAGTTCTTAGAAGGATACGTTTCGTCGTGAACATTTGGAGGTGATGCAGGGATTTTCAGACTAGGAGCGGAAGAACTAAAAGAAGATTTGGGGCTATTAGATGCCATATCGAGTAGACTATGGCTTGATTGGAGAAGCGTACGGAATACACAACGTGCTCTGTTAGCAGTATGCCCTAGTACTGCTTCTAGGAACTTATAGTAGTACTAAATGGGTAAAGAGCAAGAACCACTAGCTGGTGATCAGCAATGTCCGCTCAAACCGAAACAGGAGAACGAGTTGTTTAGCTTAACACAGTCAGCCACCCAATCACCAAGCAAGGGTTTATACATGTGTAAGAATGCTTACAGTATAATGCATGTAAAGGGTGGTGTCGGTGGCCCGCAGCCTGTGGGTACATGCATGTAGCATTTCGCTTTGTTGCAAACTTGATATTATCAGGCTCCGTAAACAGTCGTTTGTTGTAGCGGGACAATATGGTACATGTAATAGATGTTAACACGTACTAGTACTTAAGTAGTACAGTATGGTATGGTTTTGACTGCACAGCTTTTCGGATGCGTGCGCACCTTAGAATGGCCGCAATCTTTCTTGTAAACGCTTGGAAGGGCACACGTACGCATCAGTTTACAGTTCGTATTGCGAACGACACAGCTGCAATCAAAACATGTACAGTACTTGTGCATGAACAGCTGCTGCAGCTGAACGCCGAAGATATCGACCGACTTATGAAACACACGAAATAACTCAATAGGCTTCTTCATTTGTGCTCATGAGGACCTGGGTCTTAAATCCTACAGTATACTATTGTAAGCAACACGGTTCGTACTTATTCTTAACTTCCTCTGGTTTTCACAACAGTACAGTAACTCGGGAGAGCGGTAGAATAGCACAGACAGAATAAGCAAATTCAGAACCTACGGCAGAAATATCGGTATACCGGATATGGACCACTACTAAAAGCATACTGGGGTTGCACCCCCAGACTCCCGCATTAGAAAAACATGTTCTGGAGAGTGTTACAGATCAGTTCGCTGGTGAGTTCGTCGCTGGGCCCGCCTAGGCAAATACCGAGCGGACCTGCTTCGCGGGCACCCCTCTCGGGGTTGCGCTCCTCACACCCGTTCACTACCGCCCTCTATTAAAAGCACCTTTTTCACAATCTGTGTTTTTCACGGATTTGTCTGTGCGATTTTTTTTCCTTCGTCACTCGGTATATGTACTGGCAAGTGACAATACATGTATTGCCAGTATCCAGTGGTCGACGTCCAGCCGATCATGTACGCAAGTACAGTACATACATACGTAGACCATCCTCTGTTTACTACGATTCAGCGTCAACACATGTACTAAATGATTAGATGCCAGTTTCCGTGCGCACCGTTCAGCACGACACCTCCCAATCGTAGTTCGTTCTACATGTACTGGCGATCCACTTTGCAATAAAGTGCCGTGGACTGGAGCATCAGATCCCAGAGCACCAACCCTCTTCTGTAGTGCTGCTCACCGTATGTACTACTTTCTGTACTACAGTGCTGCTAAAAACTATAGCCGCATTCATTTTTTTGACGCAACGCATGCAATACTTGATCCCAGCGGATGACGCTTGGTCTAAAGTCTATAATTACGACTACAAATAGATAAAACCAGAGCGTTTTGTGGTTGAAGTGTTATTGAAAACACAATCAA